TATATATTTATATATATATTTATCTATATATATATATTTATATATATATATATATATATATATATATATATATATATATATATATATATATATATATATATATATATATATGTATATATATATATATATATATATATATATATATATATATATATATATATATATATATATATATATATATATATATATATATATACTCACATCAATGTAATTATGTATTGTGATTAAAGAGTAGCCTAGCAACAGCTTACTAAAAGTTAATGTTAAAAAAATATCTTTTAATCTTGAAAAAAAATTGAATACTAATATCAGTAAACATTCTAAGAAAGATCAACAGTTCATCTATCTGAAAAAGTTAAAAATTAAAAATTTCTACGCTCAAAATTTTTTTAAAAACAATTTGAAAACGATAAACAAAACACACTAAAAAAGCTATTGCTGTAATTACATTTTATTCGTTTTTAGAGGTTTTATATTTAATTTGAAACATTTTATCGTGTACTAGAAGTTACTTTTATTATAATTTCCTTTTAATAAACGGCTAAATGCATATTTAATTGCTAAAAATTAGAAAAATAGCTCGTTGTCAATGAGAATTTTTTTTATATTCGTTATCCGTAGCCATTTTTAAAACTTTTAAAATATGCAAACTTTACTGCGCTTGCGTATAATAACTTTCCATTTATTTAGTAAGTCTGAACGACCGTGGGTGGAATGCAAGAAACGAACTTGAGTCAAGCTTGAATTGAACTTTACATTGCAACCAATAGCGACAGAGTATGGGTTTTCCCCTCAAAAAATACTCTGCCGCTATTGGTTACAAAGTAAAGTTCAAGTCGAACTCGACTCACGTTTGCTTCTTGCATTCCACCCTAATTTTTACAAAAATAAACTAAAAAAAAAAGTTGCCATCTAAAGAAGATTATGCAGCAAAGTATCGCAGACATTTTAAAACCTCTGAATTTTCTACTAACTTTTGCACCTAACATATAACGCTCGACGCAAGCGCACCTAAACATAACGCTCGTAAACGACGAAGAACTAGCTATATTTCTTTGATTTATAGCTTGAGAAATTTTTTGTCATAAATTTTTTTATTCAAAACACGGTTAGCACGGATCCTTATAATGCCTACCTAGCTGCCACTTATACGGAAAGTTAGCGTACACATCAAGGTACCCTGTGATGCAAATTTTGAAATCATTTAATTTTTTCCGCGGAAAATAATTCACTATGAAGTCAAATTTTGACTTCATAGTGCGCCAATAAAAACACTTGTAGAATTTGAACCACTCAATATAATTTGATAAAAATTAGTGCAAATGTAGCCAATAGTCACACCAAACTTTGGACAAAATTTCAGCCTGACAGGATGACTGGTGTAGGATTTATTGCAGTTTTAGTTAAAGTTTTGTCAGTTTTTTGCTACTTATACCTCAAAGCGTTACCGATTATTTTGAAATTTGGTCACTATTTTTAAAAGAACGGTTACATGAGTGTTCTACTATCTAATATCAACAATTTTTGTTATAATTATTTTATCGGTACATGTACAGTTTTCATTTTATAGACGAAAATAGTGATTTGTTACTTAAAGCGTGATACAAATAGTCTTATGCTACAAGTGTCAACACGGCCTTCAAAGCGGAGGGGGTCAACCCCTCAATTTCTAAAAAAAAATCCATAATTTCTAAAATAACTACCTATATTTCTAAAACAAAAAGACCTCGCAAAAAAAAAGTGGGCAGGCCATGGCTCCCTTGACGGCTATGTATGCTTCGCTTGAATATACCAACATTTCCTAAGGTATAAACTACTGCCAGAATGCAAAAAATTCTAAACAAATGGTTAAGAAGGATTTCTAGGGATACCTAAATAGAAAATAAAAATATTTATTTATCTGAAAACAGAACAACTGTGAAAAAACCAAATACTTTTTATATTGACAAAGATAATTGACTTAAAAAATTTAGATAAGTTAACTAAGATATCTGACCAATACAAAGTTTGGAAGGCCAGTCGGAGGAAAATTACTCTAACTGAATAGCTAATTAGGTTAAAGGGTTGTTTTGAAATAAAACAAGCCGTGTGACAAGTATTATTAGTTTAATAAGTGTGACAATTATCAATAATGTAATTTCCTTACAAGTAAATAGTTTAAACAATTGTTTCCTGGTAAGGAAAGAACAATTTAAGAATTATTTCCTTGTAATTTAATATTACCTCAATTAAATCAAGTAAATATTTTCTTTATTTTAATAGTTTTTAATTAATAATATGTGTTACTATGTTAAGTGGATTGTTATCAAATATAAATTTAGGTCAAATTTTGTAAAAGGCAGAGTTTGATTTAGTGAAGTCAAATTTAGTGAATTGCCACGATGCCAAATCAAGCAAAGAATCATGATGAAAATCAAAAGTTTGTGTGCTTGCTCTGTCTGAAAAAATGTTTAATACAGCTTACAACTTTTCAAGCAGATCGAATATGCCAACTGTACAAGACCAAGGTCAATATCAGTGATACTTGGGTACCATAAGGATTCTGCGAATTGTGTAGAATTACTTTGCGCAGAAAACAAGAGGGAAAGAAGTTGCACTCCCCTCTTTGTTTGATTTTAAGTGAGACCTGAAACAAGAGGCACGATGTGTTGTTGCTCAATATGCCGAATTGGTCGTTCAAAGCTGCAAGAAAAACATCCTCTTATAGAGCAAACCACTATTGAGAAAAAATCAAAGGTGCGTTGCAGCAAATGCCTCAACCCTTTAGGAAGAGGTTTGCCCCACCAATGCTCTCAAATAATGTTAAGAGAAACATTCAATCTTTAGCAGCAAAAGATGCCAAATCATCCGAACGAATCGCATCTCGAGTTATTTCCAATAAAGAATTATCTTCGGAAGGAACTATTCTACTGGCTAAAGCATCCGGTGGGCCTCCACTTACAGTTACCCCTGGTAAATACTTATACTTAAAGAATTTTAACATATATATTAAAAAAAAGTTTTGACTATTAAGAAATAACAATAGATAGATTTCAAGAAGTATATTTTTGACAAGTTTCTAATTTCAAACTCATTCAAGTACGCACCCTTGCACCTGGTGTGACGTCAAGTCCAATTGTCTCGCTAGATCTGGAAACTTAGTTCTAAGCCAAATCTGGAAACTTAGTTCTAAGCCTTAAGTCTTTTCAGCAATCTTGCGGGGTTGTTGCTAATGCAAAGCTGTTTGGCAATGTCATTTGAAAGCCAATCATCTGCGGGCCTGTCAATGTTCTGATTTTGGAAATCATTGCACCGATGGAATTGCATCTCCTCTTAGGAGATTTCAACCATTTTTTCAAGATCCTTAAAACTGCTTGGGTAGAAGCTGTTAAGAGGCCAGCCGCCTTCCACATTTAACTGAGTCCGTATCACGGGGGCCAGTTTGAGGAAAATGAATGCAGGAAGCTTCGTAAAAATGTGGATATGCTGCAGCAACTTGGTGAGACAAACATTCCCAATATTGTGTGCATAATTGAAGCATTCAAAAGCTTCAATTTAGTTGTCAAGATCTGCTTGGATACATTCTTCAGCTGGATTTCGCTGAAAAAATTGAAAATTTCAAACAGTGTAACCTAATGATAACTGGTGCAAGCATTTCAATATTGGTCGAGGTATAAGCGAAATAATAATCATCCAGAGTACAAAGAAAGATTGTTGCGTTGCATAATTGATCTAAACAGTAAGCATCTTAAAGAACATCATTTGAGTTATTAGAAATTAGGCTGCTAAAATTCATATTTTACGGCGTATAATGAATATTTTCACCATCTTTAAAAGTAGTATTATTGAGTATTTGTATTAAAAGAGTACATTGACCTATTTATTAATAATCTTTTGGTGGAGAAAATCAAAAAACATTTCTTAAAATGTAATTTGATATTTGATTGTAATATAATGTAAAAAATAGGATTTAAATAGTTTTCACTTCATTTTAAAAGTAAATGTATTTAAGGAGGTCAATACAAAATATTTTAGGAGATCTACTTTTTTTTTTGTTTTACTAACTGGTAGTCCATTGACCAGGTTTTGCACTTTTTTTTAGCTTTTTTTTTTGGCAGCAGTTTATACCTTAAAAAATGTTGGTATATTCAAGCAAAGCATACATGGCCGTCAACGCCGGGGAGGCTAGGGGGTCATGTCCTTCTCTGCTTTTTTTTGCGAGACCTTTTGTTTTAGAAATATAGGCAATTATTTTAGAAATTATGGATTTTTTTTTAGAAATTGAGGGGTTGACCCCCTCCACTTTGAAGGCCATGTTGACACTTGTAGCATAAGACTATTTGTATCATGCTTTAAGTAACAAATCACTATTTTCGTCTATAAAATGAAAACTGTACATGTACCGATAAAATAATTATAACAAAAATTGTTGATATTACATAGTAGAACACTCATGTAACCGTTATTTTAAAAATAGTGACCAGATTTCAAAGTAAACGGTAACGCTTTGAGGTATAAGTAGCAAAAAACTGACAAAACTTCAACTAAAACTGCAATAAATCCTACACCAGTCATCCAATCAGGCTGAAATTTTGTCCAGAGTTTGGTGTGACTATTGGCTACATTTGCACTAATTTTTATCAAATTATATTGAGTGGTTCAAATTCTACAAGTGTTTTTATTGGCGCACTATGAAGTCAAAATTTGACTTCATAGTGAATTATTTTCCGCCGAAAAAATTAAATGATTTCAAAATTTGCATCACAGGGTACCTTGATGTGTACGCTAACTTTCCGTATAAGTGGCGTTTTTGGGACAGCTAGGTAGGCATTATAAGGATCCGTGCTAACCGTGAAAAATGCGTTAATTAAAACAAACATAAATTTTTAAAGTTTAATTATGGGTGTTAGTGACAAAATCCACAATTAGACATGTTTGTATTAAATGAATTTTATGTCATTTGGTATAAAATCAGTTCTGTTTATCATATAGAAAAAAAAACAACCTTTTAACTTTGTTTCGGTTTCCGTAAAAATATTTTGAAATATAGTTTTCACCTGATTGGCGGTCAAATATATGTTGCATGATTCCTATATAAAATAAGGGAGATCGAAGATGTGGCGTTAAATATTAAACAATCATGGGAAAAATTCCAGACCGGTAATTGCGTTTTATCGTGTTTAAAATATATTCTTATTTTATATTAGAAAAAGTATTACGAATAAACATTTGTTTGTTTTATGGTATATATTCTAATTTACAATAAGTATCGTATTTAAATTATACTTTTTGATAGTTATTAAAGCTTTATCTTTTTATAATTGATAACTACATACTTCTATTATTTTAATACCTGTAATAACAACAACAATAATAGCAACAATAGTAGTTAATAATAATAGCAACAATATTAATAAATTAAAATTATGAAAAATAATTTTAACAACAATAATAGCGATATCAGTTACACATTATTTATTTATTTTTGTTAATAATATTATTATTGCTAATACTATAATTTGAATATTATTACTAGATTTGTTATTAGGTTTAACCTAAGTTTTTAATTTTTTCAAATATCCTAGAACTTGATATCTTTTGAAAGCCTGATTATTATAAAAACCCAATACAGGGTTCGTAATGTATCTGGAAAACCTTGAAAATTAATTTTGGTTAAAGTAAAGCACTTCAACATTTTTATTTAATGTAAAATGAAAACAAAACAACTACCATAAATAAACATTAAAAGTTAAAAAATAACAAACTTATTGTTATATTATTATTAGTCAAAAACTTATTCAACTTTAAAACCACAAAATCTAAGATTTTATTTTGTATAACTTTTGAGGTTTTTATTGATTAAATATTTTTGAGAATCCCATCAATCTTTCCATTCAATCCATTCCTTTACAAAAGTAACAATAAACAAGACCGTCCTTATTCAAAACTAAGAATATAATGCTAATAAAATTGTAATTGGAAATTTAATGACTAGGAAATGACCCACTATTGACATAATAAATATTTGACAATACTTTTTTAAAAATATTTTATTTAATGGTAATGCAATAAAGGTTTTCCAAAAAAATTAACTGATTTTAAAAACTAAATTTCTGTCTTGAAAATTGATGAGTTAATTCTTGAAAACTGACAAGTGCTAAAAGAAAAAAAAAAAATTTTCCTAAAATTTAACATTTTGGTGGGAGGCATTTTTTTTGTGTGATCAACGCTTACTGTTTAAAATTATGCACACTATTAGGGTAATATAATGCTATAATTGATTTTGTTATTAAATCAAAAAAACACTAAATACTATCAAAAATATTTGGGTAATAAAATGACCTTACTTTTTGAATCAAATTATCTCTAAAAATAAAAATCTCCAAAAAATATTTTTGTTACTGTTGTTAAGCTTTGTTCTACTTTTTGCAACAAATAAATAAAAAGTTATTGTATTTTAAGTCATCGATTGAACAATCGATGACTTAAAATACAATACAACTGATGACTTAAAATACAATACAATCGATGACTTAAAATACAAAAAACTGAGGCATAAAACCTCAGATTTTTTTTCTTTAGCCGTGTTTATTGATTATTGATATTAGGCGCTCAGATGTTGAAATGCCTATTAAAGTCATAAAAAACCATGTCTTTAAGTCTACTAAAGTCATGGAATTTTTTTTTTAATCAGATTGTCAGGGAATTATGATTGAGTAGTTACTCATGTTACAATTAAGCAGTTATGTTTTTGTTGGTGCTACCCATTAATTAATTTTGACAATTAAAAAAATAACAGCACTAAACTAAAAAAAAAAAAAAAAGAAATCTTAACAAAAGAGAACAAAATAAACTTAAGAAACTAAAACTCCTAATTACATTTTAACTCTTAATTAAATTACATTTGGAATAAACAACTTAGATATTTTCTAATGCCTTTATATTATGAAAAACACTTTTGAATCAAATAACATTACTTTGTTAATTACTAACAATTGTTTTCAATAAACACTTTTTATTCAAATTATCTATGGTTGTTATTTTATTATTACAATAATGTTCTTTTTTTTTTTCTTATAAAATAAACTGTTCATATATTTGCTTTTTTAATGATCAATTTAGATTGTTTAAAACTAATCCTATAATTAAAATAAGACTTATTTCAAAGAAGCATGGTTAAACAAAGATAGTTACCCTCTTTTTGATTCTTGATTCTTAGCTAATAAATTAAAAGATAATGCCCAGGCTAAATGCAATTTATGCCATAAAATAATTGATCTTTTGAACATAAGTATTCAAGCACTAAAAAGTCATGAAAAAAGAAAAAAGCATGTTTCAGTTGCAAGCAGTTTCGCTTGTTTTTTCTTAAATTGTCTGCTGCTAAAAGTAATAATTCACTTAATTCACTGGAAAAGTCTAATTTAATGATAATTGATAGTTTCTCAAAAGCACAAATTATGAAATCACAATCTTTAGAACTCATTGTACCAAGTTCTGATTATATTTGTGCAGAAACTATGCAAGCATTGCATTTTTGCTTAACAACAATAACAACAACAAGCTATTTATTTTCCATTTTGAAATCATTTTTACAATTATAAGGTAAATAATAATAACAATAATTATAAAATAATAAGCAATAGTAATAATTTATAACAATAATAATAACAAAAAAAAAAAAAAAAAAAAAAAAAATTATAAATAATAATAATCACTATAATAATAAGTAAAATGATTTTTTTTTTATTATAATAAGTTATTTCTTATTATAATAAGTTAATGATTAGTATGGATGGTGTCACTCATATAGAAGTCTGATCAAAGGAGTGACACCATTTTTCAAAATAATGACTAATAATATATATAGACATAAAATATAAAAACATAGACACACTTTAAGTGAACTTTTAAAAAATTATATATGTAGGTAATAATAAAAGAGAAAAGAAAAACAAACAAAAAATAAAGATAGTTATTATAATAATAGAAAAAAGTTATAACAAAATATTTTTCAGAACTTTTTTAAATTGATTTTGATTAAGATTAAGAAGAGATGAAAAAGGAGTTTGGAGTTGGAATTTATTGAACTCATTCACAATGCACACAAGGCTCTTGTTCCATTCACAGATACACTGATACAACAGAATTCTTACCATACTTTTGAGTTTTATATGATGGTACAATAAGTTTTCCATTATTTATATTTCGCATAGAGTGTGTATGAATTAGTCTACTTTCTATAAAAAAAATTGAGATAGAAGGTAAATTAAATTAAATTTCTAACAATTTAAACAAAGATGCCACTAATTTGTTCCAAGCTATGTTTCCTGACAGTGAGGTTGCTAAATCTTTTCAAATGGGACCAAATAAAGTTGTATATAGCATCACCTATGGTCTTGGGGCTCATTTTAAAGCTTTGCTTAAACAACAACTAAGCCTTTCAAAACTTGTCAACTAAAATTTACTCATCCGATATTGGAATAAAGAAAAAATGCAAGTTGAAGTGAGGTATTGGGATTCCTCATTTATTCATAGGACATAGTACCAGACTTGATTTGCTGAATCATTTTAATAAAATGATAAGTGATCTTATTATCAGCAAGGTTATTCAGGTCTCTATGAATGGACCCAGTGTCAACTTAAAATTTCACAGAGATGTTCAAAGCAAACCTGACCAACATGAATTATCTAAACTTATTGACATAAGCTGCTGTTCTTAACACATAATTCACTGTGCTTTCAAAACAAGAGTAGAATTGACTGATTGCAAAATTTAAAAGACAGACAAAAGCTGCTTATTTTATGATTCTCTTGCCAGAAGAAGTGACTTAATCACTATCACTGAAGGTTCCGTGTTCCCGCTTTCATTTTGTGCAACAAGTTGTGTTAAAGATAAGGTAGCAGAAAAATTAATTAGTATTAGACCAACTATTGCATAAGATTTTGTCAGATATTGTTTACAACTTTATATTACAGTTAATTTTTGTGTAAAAGACGATTTAAAAATATTTTATGTGCTATTTAATATTTAATATTTTTTAATTTTATATTTTTTTATATTTAATATTAATACACCTTTTCACAGTTCCGATGTAAAATTAATGTGCGCGCAGAAATGGAAGTAAAAATGTAAAGAAGTGTTATTTTAACAGTAATTTGTTCAAGATTTACAAAGCAAAACTAAGATTTATAAAACAATATTATTAAACCAGTGCCATTAGTCTTATATAAGTAATTAAATAAAGAGCCTGTCTAATCCCATTTAAGTAACAAATTAAGAAATAAATGAAAAAGAAGTACCTCAAAACATTGACTTTAAGATTTGTAAAAAATAATTCATTTATCTTTTTTTGTACTCTATATGTACTTAATGTAGAGTTTAAAAAACATCGACTATCTTATAGCCTGACTCGCAAGGAAGTGCTGCTACATCGACTGACAAATAGCCTGATTTGCAAGGGAGTGCTGCTACATCGACTGAGGGTTTGGTTTGGGCAGGCAGTCTATCATTTTAAAAAAAAAAATTTTTTTGAAGTTTTTTTAACATTTTCTGGTCAGGCTTATTAACTTGCTCTTTAAAACAACAGTTTATGGCAAAAACTTTCTGACTACCATGCAATATATATATATATATATATATATATATATATATTATATATATACACACACACACACACACATATAGGTATATCAGGCTTGGTTGGGAGGCGGGTGCAATAAATAATGAGGGCACTCAATAATTTACCACAGAAATAATATTTAGTTGCGTAAAACCAGCCAGATTTTTTAGTTGTTTTGAGAACATTTCAAAAACAAACAAAAAAGCGCAATAAGATTAACTGGACTGATGAGAGACAGTTAATCTTATTTTTAAAAAAGAAAAATAGTTTTTAACGCGAAAAAAACTTAAAGCAAAATAAATACGATTAGAGCAAATATTTTTGAAACGTCACTCTTTTATAATTTATTTTATAAAATTAGGCGACATTTTTTATATAAAGTAACAACTTACTATTAATGATTGTTTTTTTTGTTTTTTTTTTGTTTTTTTTATTTTACTTCACCTCCTCAAAGCTGAGAAGACCACCACAGACGAGGAGGCTACTTATTTTGTGGCTATAACCCTCTCTCAACTCTATAACTCCGAAACACAAACCTTG